GTAATAAAAAGAAACTTTCCCTTTCTTTAGCCGACCTACAAGGAGAAATTAAGACAGTTAAAAAAAGAAATAGAAGAATTAAAATAAGAGCATAATAAAATTAAACAATATATCATTCAGTTACAAGTTAATAAAATTATATATGTACAGGCAGAGCCCTCGAAAAATAGGAAGATTAACAATTTAGCTGAAACATTATCTTATAATGAGTTTATTAATGTGATATCTAGAGTAAGCTTTTTTCAAAAATGGATAGTTTTAGTTAAAATAATAGTTAATGATGATTTTCATTTAACTCCAACTGCATTAGTTAACTCTAGTGCAGATCAAAATTATTTACAAGGACTAATTCCAACTATATATTATGAAAAAACTAAAGAAAAGTTATACACAGCTGACGGTAGTAAGTTAAGAGAAGAATATAAGTTAACAAAAGCAAAAATATGTAATGATGATTTTTGTTTTAAAACACCCTTTATTTTAGTTAAAAATGTTACTACATGAGTCATACTAGGAACACCCTTTTTAACTACTATTTATCCTTTTAAAGTAGATAATGAAGGATTAAAAACAAATAACTTAAATAACAAATATGTTTTAAATTTATGTAACCAATTAGGCAAAATGATTTAAGTGCTATACTCTTTATTTCTGTATATAAAGAAATAAATCTTATTGAACAAATTTGAACAAAAAACAGAAGCATATTACGGCTTGTTTGAAATAAGGAAATAATAACATTTAGGGATTAAAAATCAATTGACAACAAACTTCACATACAGTAAACAAAATTAAAGATTTTGAAGAACTGTTTAAACAAAAATTAAAGATTTTGAAGAACTTTTAAACAAAGAAGTATGTTCAAATATTTCAAATGCCTTTTGGTCTAGAAAACAACATATAGTTCATTTACCTTATATAAAAGACTTTGATGAGAAAAATATCCCAACTAGATCTAGAGCTATACTGATAAATAAACAATTACAAGAATATTGTTATAAGAAAATAAATGATTAATTAGATAAAAGATTAATTAGACAATCTAAGTTCCCTTAGAGCTGTTGAGCTTTCTATGTCCACAAATACACGAATCTGATAGGTGCAAAACTGGGTTTAATGTTCCATTTGGTCACTATGAGTGGAATGTTGTGCTATTTGGTTTGAAAAATGGCCCTTTTGAATTTCAAAATAGTATAAATACATTTTTAACAATTATCATGAGTTTTCAATAGTTTACATTGATGATATGCTTATTCATTCAAATGATATTGATTAACACTTTTCTCATTTAAAAAAAAAATTTATAATATAGTTAAACAAAATGATTTAGTTATTTCTTCTCCAAAAGTTAAATTATTCCATGCTAAAATAAGATTTCTAGGACATGACATTTTTCAAGGCACTATTAAACCGATTGATAGATCAATTAATTTTACTGAAAAATTTTTGGATGAAATTACTGATAAAAAATCAATTTCAAAGATTTTTGGGATGTCTGAGCTTTGTTACTGATTTCATGAAAGATATTCGAATCTTATTTCAACCATTATTCAATAGGTTAAGAAAAAACTTTTCTCCCTAGACTGAGAAACATACCCAAATAGTTAAAACTATAAAGTCTAAAGTTAAAAGCCTTCATTGTCTTTCAATACCAAATCCCAATTCATTTCTTATAGTAGAAACCGATGCCTCATATATAGTCTATGGAGGTATTTTCAAACAGAAATTACCAGATCAGTCTTTTGAATGCTTAGTTAGGTACCATTCTAGAGCATGGAATGATACACAAAAAAATTATTCAACTATTAAAAAGGAATTGCTTTAAATAGTTTAATGTATTACAAAATTTGAAGATGATTTAACTAACAAAAAAATTTCTTTTATAGATTGACTGTTCAGCAGCCAAAAACGTTTTAAAAAAAAGAAATTAAAAATATTATTTTAAAGCAATTTTTTGTTAGATGGAAGCTATTTTATTGTGTTTCGATTTTGAGGTTAAAGCCATTAAAGGTACTTCTAACTCTTTGCCTAATTTTCTTACCTAAGAATTTTTGCAGAGAAAAAATATAAACAAATAAGTTTTCCCTTTATCTGAAGAGTTTGTTAGGCAAAACTTAATGGACACTTTAAGAATAAAATTACAAGAGAAAACTATGGTAAAGAGAGTGTGAGTATTTCTTCTCCATTACCTGGCCCTTCAACTACTCAATTACCAATATCAACCTTTGCTTCAACTACTTCTGTTACAAATAAACCGATCAATTACCATGACACCCGTACCGGTGCATCATCATCCACAATTAATTATCCTTTTGTTAATAAGGATATAGATATACGAATTACCTACATTGAAAAAGAATATACTAAATGTTCAAATTTTTTGGAAGTCTCTCAAAAGGTATTTCCTTCTAATTTCTATTTTGTTCCTGAGTCACTTTCCAAAAATAGAAAATTTTATGAGTTTATATTAGTTGATACAGATTCTATAATTTAGTTGATACAGATTCTATAATTCTGAAACATATTCATGATCCAGAAGATGTTAAAAAGGTTTTATATTCAAAAGTTCAAATAAAAAAGGTTTCTCTCTCTCTGATTGGAATCAGAATCTATATACTAAGAAAAAATTTAGTCAAAACTTTGTACCAAATTTTTTCAACTATGAGGATTATAAAAAAAAAAAAAACTTGGTATGATGTATTTATTTAAGAAATCATAATCATTTGTGGTTTATGATGATTCCACGAGGTTCAATTACAGAATTTCCTTACTAGTTTCAAAAGTGGTTCAAGTATTTTGGATGTTCAATTAAAAACTTTCCTTACAAAGATGTTACAAGGCTTTGAGGTTTATGATAAACAATTAACCAATTTAGCCAAGATAAGCTACTCTCATTTGTAGCTACTTTTGGGATTCCATGGATTTTGTCCTGGAATTATCAAATTAAAAAAGTTCAACCACTACTCTTTCCTTCTATGCGGGTCTGAATCTTCAAAGGCTTTGAGGTTTATGATAAACAATTAACCAATTTAGCCAAGATAAGCTACTCTCATTTGTAGCTACTTTTGGGATTCCATGGATTTTGTCCTGGAATTATCAAATTAAACAAGTTCAACCACTGTCCTGGAATCTTCAACAATAAATGGTGGAAGAACTACAACCAAACCCAAGCTTGTGTTCGACCATTCAAAGATACTTCAGTTTAAAATGACATTTACCTTTGGTGAAAAATCCAAAGCATCTAGATTTCTTAACAGATAAAAGCAAGTAGCAAGCTGCCCTAGCTCTACTAGTTCAATTGAAGAATTCAAGAAGATACTACAAAATATATATCGCCAAGTATCTCAAGATGATGAATGTGAAAATAAAGCCACATCTAGTTACTTACCACTACGTGAAGATGATTACTATGATATAAATCAAATAAATTGAAGTCTATCCAGTTCAAGTAAATATCAGATATATTGGAATACGTTCAAGTTGTTTGTGTATATTCGACCCTATCCATCTTTTGTTTATTCATATAAATAAGATTTATCTTATTAGGTAATAGTTTTCTAACTTTTAAATCAAATGAAATACACATCCTTCTATAAATACTTAAGTGTGTTTACTTAAGTGTGTTTTGAGAAAGGCAGAGATTTTAGAAGAAGCAATCTTGTGATATTCCTATCCCCTGTTGTTTCGAAAAGCTTTGTGATCTTCCTTTTATAAGTAATAAAATTTTCTTTTATATAATGATCGTTTTAACTCTGTCTTATTTTAAATTACTTTGATTAAATTATTACTTTATTTTAGTTAATTGATATGATTACTTATGCTTATGTGTATCATATTAGTTTGCCCGGGCTCTATTCTCCCTTCCATTTCGATTTAACAATTACTGTTACTCCACAATTAAAACTAAATATACATCTCTTCCTCCGTCCATCCACACTTCAAGACAACTCTTTTCTAGTATCAGAGCTTAATCTTTATAGGTTGTAGTGGTAAATTTATACTATACATTATTTATATTCATTCTACATAATCGTAATTTAATTTTTTTGATACAATAATTTTTTATTTATAATATTCTTTAATTGCATTTAGATATTATTTGGTTATTATTATAAAATATAAATCCTTAAAATTTTTAATTGAATAAAAATAGATATAAAATATTAATTATTCATAATAATAAATATTTTATTGACAAGGTGGAATATTTATGAAATTAGTAGCAAATATAAAGGGAATGCAATAAAGTCCAAATATACCTGTTTTGATTCCTCTTACTAACAATATAAAGTATACAATAATAATATAGAATTAATTTATTTAATTTATTTAGCAACATATTATAATAAAAGAATTAGAAAAGGAAAAATCAATCGTAATAATTTATTATTTTCTCCAAAGTATTCCTTCCCATCATTGACTGTTTTGGAGTTATATGCTAAAAGTTTCTTTGGAATTGACGTTTTCTTAATAGTAAATTTAGTGAGGTTGAATTACAACCTCTCATGAATATATATAAAGAGAAAAAAAAAAAAAAAAACTTGGGTTGCTTCAACAACACTATAAATGATAAGTCTTCAACACCTGAAGAAATTCTTCGAAATATTTTATTACATTATTAAAGATAGTAGCTAAAATTTGAAGTTCCTATGAAAAAAATTGAACTTCATAATCAATAAAATTATAATGAAAAATTGTGAATTAAATAAATTATTTACCACAACCAGAATAATTTAATTTTTTCTTTCAAAAAAAAAAAAGAATAATTTAATTTTAAATTTCATAAACTTTAATATAATTAAATCAAATTCTACCATTTACACATAAACTTCAGACTACAAATTTATTTATATATATATCATAAATTAAATTTATTATTTCACCATTTGAGAATTATTTCTCAAATATTGAAGAGGGGTCAAGATTCATGAATACACGTAATTACACTTATCCATGTTTGTAAGTTCAATTATCCAACATGTATAACAACATTGAGAACGTATTCAAATTAATACTTTTAACTATTGATAATAATAACCCGAGCCGAGCCGAGCCAGAAGTATGAGTAAAAGTAAAAAAATTTAAGAACCAAAAGCAATGTTTTATGTAAAAACTCCTTCCGGTAAGTTATTTTCTGGATTACAAATAAAACTTCAAGTTGAAATGTAAATCTCAGGTCATATAAGCTTTTCAAGATCCAAAGTATGATCTCAGTGTAGTTGGATATACCTGTCTATAGGTTGACAGAGGTGGAGGAAAAAATGAATGCACATCAGTAGAATGAACCCAACAATTGCTTTGCTTTGCACCTCCCGCCTTCAAAAATTAAAAAGAAATGAAAATACAAATAGATTTTGTACAACAACATTAAATTTTGAAGTCTTCAGCTGAAGTTCTTTTTATGATGGTGTAATCCTGGATTTCACAGCGTCAAAGAACACAATACACCCACTCGATTCACCTTCATACCAGCAAAAGAATAATGCAATATAGGAGCAGCTGAGACAATTAATAAATTGACAAACTTGAGTGCTAACCCAGAAAACAAACATTTGATTATTTGTTGCAACAGAAAGTGAAATTATCAGAAAAATTAACACATAAGAAAATAAACATGCCCATTATTTTACTATAATCACAGAACGGCAATATAACTGTTACAACAATTAGTGAAACCTGCACATACCTGTAGGATGTCTTGGCAGATCAGTCTTACTATATATTTAACTTTTTGAAACTGATGATGCAATCAGTTGTATAGACTCAGTAGGTTGTGATTCATCAGAGCTACGTTGAGATGCTTCCTTTTTCAGCTTGTGATTATTATATGCAGCTACACCAACAATTGCTGCATATGGAAGGGGAAAAAGAGCTTTGTATAACACAACTAAAACTAATTCAACTATAAATTGTTAAAAGGTTTCCTCGTAAAAAGTCATTGCCTGCTGAACAAGAGAAGTTCAACATTCAATGACAGACACAGCAAAAAAAAATGGTATTTTGATTCCAATTTTAAATCAATATCCTTTCTTAATGCAGTCACCTAGTGATGAAACATGTCAGAAAAGAAATTCAAAGTTAGCATCCTCAAGGCAATCTAACAAATCTAATCAAAGTAATCAAAGTTTCAAGTTATTGCAAAAAGATAAATTCAGGGATCAATTACCAAAAGGACCAAGGCTCCATTTGTTTCACAGGAAATAACTTGACAGCGCAAAACATTTTATGAGAAAATAACTAATTTCATGTTGTTTGCTGAAAACTAATTGAAAAGCGTTTTCTTATGTTTGGGGGACATTACAATGTTAACTTCTATCATTTTTTTTTTTTTTAAATTTGGTAAGAGTTTTCTATCAATTTATAGAACTACGAAAATGTTTAACCTCTAAAAACATCATTCTTTTATATTTATTATTGAATATAAGGGAAAAAGAACTAGAAAGGATAAATTGTAGTAGTCAAATGCAACAATGGTCGACAACAGCCAAAGATAGTCAACTTTGGTAGGCATTGGTAAATGTTTCTGTGATTCCCTTATATTCTCCTTTTTCAATGAGGTTGTTAAGTTCAGAAAAATGCTCCCAACTTTTGAAATGAGGAAGCCATTTGACTTGAGAATGGCTTAATTTTCAATTTTGACCACACTTTTTTTTTTTTATTGACCAATTTTCTTGAGAGCCCCAAAGACCAAAAAATGGAGAAAATGTTTTTTAGGAAAATATTTTTCTGTGAACTACCAGAGCCTAAGAAAGTTTGGATTCGGTCACATGCAGTTTTGTTGAAGTCAGTCTAATAATTAGACAATCAATTGCATCAAAGTGCAGTTTTGCCTAATTCAACAAATGACCAAAAATTCCAATGGCATGTGAAAATACATTTTGCAAAAAGCCAAGGGCCTGATGTTCCCCAAAAAATTTAAAATTCCACACTTCACTCTTGCATCAAACGTCATCTCATAAATGCTAATTTTTCCCCACAACCTTCCGACCCGAAATGAACATATCTCTCCATCTCTAAGAATAAAATTCTAGCCTGCCTCCAAATTCCCCAATCAAAAAAGATAGGTTCCTAAGAAAGAAGAATTCAAATAAAAGTAAAATATTGCTTAGATACTCACCAATACAATAACCAAGGAGGTTTATGATTGTAAGCTTTGTATCTGCAAATAGAAGGGCAGATAGCAAGACGACAACCCAATCCTTCACAACTCCAGCCACGCGAATGGTCAGAGCACTGGTATGTGAGATCACAAGAAAAACTGATAGGTTGAGTGCAAAAGTACAAAGAGAATTGAGGGTTAGCACAAGAGGTTGAAAGTTCCATGCGTGTGCTTCCATCCTTGGTTTCTCGAGAAAAATCCAAGGAATAAATAGGCAAAGAGCACTGCAAGGAAAATCACAATCAAATACACAAGCATATTTTCCCCCTAGGGAAGTGGAAAGAAATGCTTTGAAAATGATGATGCTTCATATGTAAATGACAAACAAAATACTTGCCTGCAGGGACTAACATAATACATGACAGATATAGGGTTTAACTTCAGACCCTTCCTTTTTACTAGAATCTCCATGAAAATAAGTCTCAAGGCTTCTCCAACAACTCCACCCATCTGATACACAACTCCAATCCAGCTGATATTTATCTCTCCATAAGAAGCCACAAGAACACCAAAACTGATAACTGACATAATTAACAACATTCTGCAGCTCATCACCTCAAGTCCAGCAGCTACTCCAAGAATAAAAACAGCAACTGGCACTGCAAATCTCAGTAAACAAATTAAACCTTGTCAACAAGTGCCAAACTGCAAATTTCCAGAGGAAAGCAACTACCTATTGGCCAACCAAATATGAAACTTGCCACCAAACAGAGCAATTACAGATTATCACTATCACAGGAAATATCTGGAATTTATCAAGACCATTGCTTCTAGACATAATGATAACTTTTTCAGAAATGAGAATCAAAGCCTTTTATTGACAGTAAGGATGAGGTTATCTAAGAGAGTGCCAGCCCTAGTTATTCAAATGAAAGATCAAAAAGATATAGAGAAGCAAATATATCTCCTAGAGCAGATTTAGTAAAAGAGTGGGGTTCAAAGACAGATAATGAACACTTACTAACAGCCTTCAACATTTGTGCAAAAGCCACGGAAATATACAGGTAGGCAGTGTTTCCCAGCCAAAGGGTCATTGCAAATGTTGCACCTATTGGAATAACTGAGGTTGCATATCTAATATATGAATATCCATAAGATATAGGACAAAGAATCAACATTACATAAATAAAATTGGAAAGGATAGGCCTAAGGCCTTGTTGCATGTATTAGGAAAACACATCTTTACTTACATTTCTGCTGTCATTCCCTCCTCAACTTTCATGACCTATGAAGAGTTGAAAATTAAGAAATAAGTTGGACAAGCAAAAACTCCACATCAGATAAGGGAACCTGATATAAAATTAAAGTAGTACCTTGAAAACTTTGGTTAGTGTAAAACACAAAACCGAAGAGAAGACCATGTGAAGTAGAGTCAATCCAAGAGGATAAGGAAAGTTTATTTCCTTAGATGATAAAACCCACTGCAATCAAACAATTCCAAAGAAAACCTTATGTTAGTGAGGTGGAGGAACGTCTTCCAAAACAATATCACCACTTTAGCATATCACAGAATGGTGTGAACTGTCACGCCCGACTCTAGTCACCAGAGAAATTGTCCGCTTTGGATCAAGCCGAATCCATCCCATACTGGATTGGTAGGATCCGCACAGTTTTGTATCGCAGGTGAAATGGGAAACTTTCCAAGAGGTCACCCATCTTAAGATTTCTGTTGAGCGAGCAAGCGCGCTTAACCCTGAAATTCTTCCAACTCTCCAGTCATTCCACCAAAAGGCGTCTTTAATGATTAATTTCCCCCTTTTCGATATATGATTCGATTCATTCCTGTGTCTCGCATTCCACTACCCATAGCTAGCTTGCTATTCTAGAAGCTCGCCAAGACCTTAACTCTATTTGCCCTCTTAGGATCGCTTTGCCAGGTCAGAATGTCACAGGCCCACCAGCTTCAGCGTGGTTCGTCCTCAAACCATACATCTATTGGAGGGCGTCCAACTCTGATACCAACTGTCAACGCCTGAATCTTAATCCATCTCATACTGGATTGGCAGGATCCGCACGGTTTTGTCCCGCAGGTGAAAGGGGAAACTTCCCAGGAGATCACTCATCCTAGGATATCTGTTAAGCAAGCACGTTTAACCCTGGAGTTCTTCCAACTCTCCAGCCATTCCACCAAAAAGCACCTCTAATGATTAGTTTCCCCCTTTTCGAAATATGATTCAATTAATTCCTATGTCCTGCATTCCACGACCCATAACTAGCCTGCCATCCTAGAAGCTTACCAGGACCTTAACTCTACCCGTTCTCTTAGGATCGCTTTGCAATCTAAGAGAATCCACAATGCAGGATGTCACATGAACACCCTAAGCATGTATATGAAAGAATCCTCCAATCTAAATGCTAAAACATGTATCTTAATGCAACCTTGGACAATGAGTCAGATACAGAGCACTATTTTAAAAAAACGAAAAAATGTAAGACAATCCACAATGCACACAAACTTATATCTTATAGGAACCCTAACGCTTAATAGATTCTAAACCTTATGCTCTTTCAAGAAACTTGAAACTATCCTCTTCACCTATTATTCTTTGACCATTTTCATAAATTTGATTAAATTCATAAAGAATTTTCTACTATGCTTCAGTCTATATTTTTTAGCATACAAGCAAAATTCATAGATTTAAATTCTGGCATGGCCACATGTAATATAATTAGGGCCCTTGCAGAAATGCCATAACATTTGCAGCCTTTTCGGTGCAAATTTCTCTAAGATAGAAATTACATGAATGAACAGATTTACACGAAAATTACTCAAGTTTAACAAAAATGCATAATATACAACCACAGATGCAAAAGTTTGCTCTAGTGAGTTTTTTTTTTTTTTATTCTATACTTGTTATGGATGAATTTGTTTGAGGTATTAGAGCTCAAATTGAGGATTAGCTAATAACTTTTTGACCTCATCAAGTAGGTCAAACAACAACAACAATGACAATTAAGCCTTAGTCCCAAACTAGTTGGAATCTCTTATGAATCATTAGCTACCATTTCCACTCTATTCAATAATAGCAAAAAAATAAGCAAAGCATAAAGTAGGAAAACAAAGGATTTTGAAAAGGAAAATAATTTTGGTACAAAAATTTTGAAATTTTAAAAATCATTTGCTTTATTAAGTAATAAAGAAGCATAAAACAAACAATGACCAAAAAAGCCTTATGTCTAGACTAGTTGGGGTCGGATATATGTATCTTTTGTCTCCATTCTATTTTTTTCATTGCTAGATCCTCATTAATCTTAAGAGGCTGTAGATCTTTTGTGACCACTTTCCTCCAAGTGAATCTAGGTCTACCTCTTCCTCGTTAAGCATCCTCTATCCCTAAATTATCACACTTATGAACCAGGGAACATGGGGGGTCTATATAGCACATAACCAAATCGAAGACGTCCTTCTCTCATTTTGTCCCTGACTTTTGCTACCTGCACCTTATGTCGAATGTGGTCATTCTAAGCTTGTCCAACCTTATCTACAATCAGCATAATTTGCAACAATACTTGTTTGTATTAGTTAATGGTTCTGACATTTTTTTAATATTTAGACTAAATTTCCTATTAAAGTTTAACACTAGATGTGTTTTCCAAAATAAATTTATTACATGATCATCTGGTTTATAGATTGTCAAAAAAAAAACAAAAAAGATCTATGATCAACATAACATAAAAGTTATTAAATCCTTTGATACTCATATTTGTAGATAAATTAAAAATATGATTTATCATTATATATTTACAAAAAAATAAAAAGCTAACTGCAACTATATTAATTAACATTTTAAACTATCCTTTTTTTTTTTTGTACAAGTGATCAAAACATACAGTACAGTTCATATTCTTAATGGTCATCTAACAAACTTACAACAATGCAACGAAAGCTAACAATGGTTCACAACAAAATTTTTATTTACCACCTAACATCTATAATTAATTAGTTATTCACATCAACGACTAATGGCTATCAATTACTACAAAGGACAGAACCCACATAACTTTGTTAACAACCTTTTCGCTTTTGAAAACTATAACCAAGTCTGATCTTTGAATATGTAAAAGGCTTAAGTGTCATTTAGCATGAAATACAAGAGATTTCCACAAAAATTATGCAACGACAATAGCAAATTATTTGTTATTGATTATGAAAAACCCTAGATTCTTGCCCCTAAGAAAAAATCAATACCTTCTTCTTGTGCTCCATCAACATTTATTTACATTGCAAAAGAGGGTTCTAGCATATAAAAAACAGACAATGTCAATCGAAGAGGACCTTCGTTCCTATGTAGTTTTGCCATACGGTAATATAGGTGGATATAAGAATGTACTGCTGATCCAATTATCTTTAATACTGAAGAAAGCAGTTCGGAAAAACCATTTTCAATAAAGGAGATAAGGATAGCAAAAATCTAACAACCTATTATGAACAATACAACCAGAACCAGTCACAAAATGGTCGCTACTAACCATGGAAAGGAACAGAATTTTAATATAGTTACACAAAAATACCCAATTATGTAATCTTTCCCGAACCAAACATAAAAATCAAAATCCTTCAATACAACTTGTGTCTTAATGTTGTTAATGTATTGGCGGCTAGAACTGAAATTCAAATATAGTGACAGAAATCAAAGAAAAATAAGAATAGAGTAGTCTAACCTTGTTAAAGAAGATCTGGCCACTAGAGAGAGCGATGTAAAGAAGAATGTAAGCGTAAGTTATAAGTCTCGTCCGATCTGCCATTGCCTCTGCTACTAAATTTGAACTACAGACTTGCTACTTCCTCTCTCTCAAATCTTAATTCTTAGATGGAAACAAGTCAGCTCTGGTGTTGAAGCATGAAAACTTAAAAGAGCCTTTCAGTTTCAGTATCTTGGGCCAAGACCATTCAAGCCCAGCTGTTCATGCGTATGGATAAGCACTGTTGGGAGCGTTTGAATCCGGCGATACGGTGGGTGTTCAATTTCGCCGCTTACTTTTTTTTTCCTTTTTTACTTTTTAACTTTTGAATTTAAACTTATTTTTAAGTACTTTTATGCTATGTTTGGAAGGAGGAAAAAAAGTAAAATAGAGTGAAAATTAAGAATAGAATTTATTTTACATCCTTCCAAAAAAGGTATTTTGACGATTCCAAAATATTTTCACCTCTATTTTACTTCATCCAAATAGCTCCTAAGTATTTAATTAAAAAGTAAAAATCACTTTAAATATCGATTCGATTCAAATAAATTTAAAATATGGAATTCATTTATAATTTAAATAAAAATAGAAAATATTTGTAAATGAATTTTGTTTAACATGTTTAACTAAAAATATATAATTCATTTTGATTTTTTCTTCAAAAAAATTTATTTCTACATAATTATTTTTAGAATAAATTCATAATTTAAAAGGTTCGTTTGCTTTTTTTTATCAAATTGTTGCTCCTTATAAGAAGTTTTGTTTGCTTAGAGTTGCTCATCTGTCGTCAATAAGTTACTATTTTATGTCTGGGTTAAAGGAATGGGGTCCTGTCCTTCCTCACAATATTTTACAAGTTGTGTTTGATGATATTTCTTAATGTAAGTGTTCATTTTCCATAAAAAACAACATTCATTGCACATTAACAATACATGTTGTTCATACTCGTGATTTAATATCTTTTAATACTAAATTTAAATTTAAATATGATTTCTTAATATTTCTAACTGAATTGATAAGTTCAAATATTAGTTATGAGATAAGTTTTTCGGGACTCAAAACTATCTTTAAATGGAAAAGAAAATTGGTTCAAATCTTATGTTTAAACCATATCTTGCGTGTGCGAAATATAAAATATATAAAAAAAAAATCAAAATTCATATAACGTTACGAAATTAGTGGATATCCTACATAGACTATAAATCTATGTTTCTAAATAGTGCAGAGATCTATATTCTTAATTAGTGTAGAAGTCTATTTCCTAATTAGGATACCATTCATGTGCCTATATATATATTTGACTTCTCAATAAAAATTAATAAGAATGACACTAATATTTTTTCTCTCTACTTCTCTCCTATTTTTTCTATTATTGTACAGCACAATGTCAGTATGATTTCATTCTATCACCATTTGCTCTGTTAATCAAATCACAAATCGCTTAAAGAAAGATCTCTTGATCAAATCACTTAAATAGAGGATAACTTATGGTTTGCAACAACCAAAATTAAGGTTGGTGTCTTTAAATTTATTTACATACAAAATGTAATTGTTTATGCCTTCTTGACAATTTTAGTGATATAATTACTTATAGTAAAATATTATATGATGTTAAATTTATTAATTGTATGCCATTAAATTGGATTTAAATAATAAAAGGTAACTTGATTAATTAAAAGAAAATATTTCTGCCAATGGTTTAAAAAAAAAAGAATTGATTTCGATTTTTTACAGGCCCTAAAACAGCCATGAAACATCGCCATGTCTTGGTATTAATGAACTTGATTTTGATTTTTGTTTGTTAAGCTAATTCTTACTTTTTCTTTTTATTTGATTATAATTATTATACTTCTATTAAGAAAAGAAACAATATGAGAATGATATTGCACATCAATTAAATCTTTTATCTAGATTTTAAGAGCTTGATTGATAACAATACGTGTTTGATGAATGAATATCAGTACATTCATTGATCTATTTAATTACATATATATAGTGTTTTGGTTACAACAAACTGATAAGAACAAATATGAATATAATCTCCTCCAGGATATAAGCTACACATGATAAGATAACTATGACTATTACACCCCCTCAATTCGAGCCGGGAAGGAACGAATTGCTAGCTTATGAGGAAGATGAGTGTGTCATTGTCGTGACAAAGGCTTTGTAACTCGTTGCTGCAAACTTTATCTCTAACAAAATTGAAGGTGACCTCAATATGTTTTGTCCGAGCATGAAAGATTGGGTTGCGAGAGAGATACATCGCACCAAGATTGTCGCACCAAAGTGTGGGAATAAAAATCAAAAAATGCAGCTCATGAAACAAAGATTTCAACCATGTAACTTCAGCGATGCCAAGTGCAATTGCGTGATATTCAAATTCTGTTGATGAACGAGCAACGGTTTGCTGTTTCTTGAAAGACCATGAGATAAGATTGATGCCCAGAAAAATAGCATTGCTAGAAGTTGATTTTTGGTTGACAGGATTAGATGCCCAATCAGCCTCTAAATAAGCATGAAGATCAAAGTTGTTAACGTGAGAAAACGGTAAACCAAAGTCTTTCGTAAGCTATAAATAACACAGGATCCTTTTAGTTGCAATCTAATGAGATTCGAGAGGTTGATGTGCTACTCAATTGACTGCATACGTGATGTCAAGTCTGCATGAATGATGAATACTGCAAGCTCCCAACTACCCGACGAGACAAGGGAGGATATGAAAATAAAGAATCAGATGCAATAGGAGATAAGGCACACAAGACAACATGCGTACATAAGCCCTTGCAATCAGTCATTTTGGCTTTCTCTAATAGCTCTAAAACATATTTACGTTGGTGAAGCAATAATGTACCCGAAGAGTCGCGCAACACTTCGATGCCTAAGAAATAATCGAAATCACCGAGATATTTTAACATAAAGTGAGAATGCAACATAGAGATGACATGCTATCAAAAAAAAAAAAAAAACATAGAGATGACATGCTGAATTGTAAAAGAGTGAGAACCAGTTAAAATAATGTCATCTAAATATATCATGCAAAAAAGATGAACATTATTTTCATTATAAATCAGCAAGGAGGAGTGGGTATTAGATATAACAAACCCATATTGCAAAAGAATAGAGGTAAGGCATTTATACTATTGACGTGGGGCTTGTTTAAGCCCGTAGAGAGATCATTTGAGCCTACAGACATAGTCAGGACATTGAGGATCTACAAACCCCAGGGGTAGATCCATATATACCGCGTCATCAAGGGCACCATGGAAAAACGCGTTGGAAACATCTAATTGATGAAGCATCCAACCTTTTGAAACTGCAATGAAAAGAATGTCCAGAATGGTAGTCAGTTTAATAATTGGAGAAAAGGTCTCTTTATAATCAATTCTCGGACGCTGATTAAACCCTTTAGCAATGACATGTGCTTTGAAGTGATCAACCGAACCATCCGATTTTTCCTTGATCCGAAAAACCCATTTACATCCTATGATGTTCTCAGCAAAAGATCAAGGAACAAGATCCCAAAAAATCCAGTTTTAAGCAAAGCATTTACTTCTTCGGTCATAGCAGCTCGCCATTTTTTGTTTGAAACAGCCTTAGAGAAACAAGTGGGAACATGTGATTAGGAAGCTACTTGATGAAGAAATAATTTAGGCCGAAGGGAACGTGTTTGAGACCTTGTAATCATACGATGAATTCTTGAGGGTGCTTGGGAGGTGGCAGGTTGTTGTGTAGATTGAGAAAGATCAACCATGAGCTCAGGTGGCAGGTAGAGGAAGTAGAACACGTATGTTGAGCTGTGATGATGATGCCGAGCCAGATATCGTTGGTGAAGATGGCTATTTAGACACATACTAGGAGAAGATGTGGTAGCGGCAATGACATCTACTATTGGAGATGAATTTGAAGTAGAAGGAGAAGTGCCTAAAATACCCTTTGACCAAGCTAGAGTAATAGGATGAGGTGGAACCGAGAGTGGTGAAGCAATGGATTCAGTAGCAGACCTATCATTTAACCCCTTTAAAAGAAATACCTTATCAAAAAATCGAACATGGTGTGAGATATAAATTTTATCATTTAAAATGTCTGAGCAAAATAACCCTTGTGGAATTTACATACCCAAGAAGAAAAGCAAATTGAGATGAATAAGAATCTAATTTATGTTTTGCATAGGGTTTGAGCCAAGGATATCAAGCACAACCAAAGACATGAAGTGCATTGTAATTTGGTTTTTGGCGATTTAGATGTATTAGGAACAATCGGTAATCAATTAATGCAATAAACACCACATTCAAAGGCCAAAGTCCAGTATTTTAATGGAACATTAGCGTGAAATAATAAATCCTAGCGGTTTTAACTATATGTGTGTTTGCGCTCGGCACAACCATTTTGCTCAGGAGTATAAGGGCATGACACACGTTGGGTAATTCCATTTTGATGTAAATAACCAGATAAAGCCTGAAACTCTCCTCCCCAATCAGCATAGTGTGAACCCCTCCCCCAAACATCACTGGCATATGAATGCATGTGACTAAGGACAGAAATGCACGTGAATGTATGAGTCGCCACCTTGTTTAATTATATAAAATTGGGAAAAGATTTGCTCCATCTGTAGCATCCCATGCTATTAGCTGCATATGCATATACACAACTAGGTTCAGAATATAAATTTACTAATATAAACGTGTCAAGTCACTCGTGATGAACTACTCGAAGCTCGGCTCATTCAATAAGTTTTAAGGCACGATCTACGAACCCGAGATGGATCCCGAGACCATATCATGCTGATGAACTAACCGATGGATGAAATGTTTTGCAGGGTGAATGAAGTAATTGGACCAATTGAAATGTTTATGTGATTTCAACTTGCCGCTCGGGGTTAAATCCCGAACGTGCCTACGTACTTCCGTGTACTGTTCCGTGTGAATGGAAGATCAAAAGTCAAACGTAGTTCGATAGCCTTCTTGAAGGGCTTTGAAAATGGGTATGCTTAATGCATGAGTGTGTATGAGTGCTTTTGTGCATGAGTTGGTGGTATGCTTGTGGCATGAAGTGTGTAATGCTTTGTGCATGAGTTGTGGTATGCTTTGGTGCATTTTGTTTAGGCATTTTTGCCATGAGGCTTTTAGCCAAAAGAGTTGATTTGGGCTTATTCTTGCCAAAATTGGTGTTCGGGCTTATTATTGCCGAAAATGATTTTTGTCGAGCGATTTGTTGCCAAAATCGTTGATTTTAAGGCTCTTAGCCAAAATGGTTTATTTAGGCGATTTGTCGCAAAAAATGTTGATTTAAGGCTTTGGGCCGAAGTTGATTGATTTTAAGGCTTCGAGCCGAAAAAGTGTTGATTTAAGCAATTCGTTTGCTAAAATGTGTAATTTAGCCGATTGTCGCCAAAATGGTTGATTTTGAGGCTTTTAGCCAAAATGATGTAATGTCGCTCAAAAGTGTTGATTTTAAGGCATTTGTGCCAAAATGATTCATTTAGGCGATTTGTCGCTCAAAAGTGTTGATTTTAAGGCATTTGGCCAAGATGGTTCATTTAAGCGATTTGTCGCTCAAAAGTGTTGATTTTAAGGCATTTGTGCCAAAATGATTCATTTAGGCGATTTGTTGCCAAAATCGTGATTGATTAAACTGTAGGCAATTTGTTGCCAAAAAGCGATTGATTAAGGCTTTTAGCCGCAATTATTAATTAATTGGACTTTTAGCCAGATTTGTTCGAAATAAGGCGATTGAACCGTAGTTATTAATTAACCCCTAATAAGCGGGCGGGGGGGCGTAGGCTCTTTAGCCAATATTGTCCGATTTAAGCTTAACCTACCACGATTATTAATTATTTCCGGGCGTTAGAGCTTAAAATCGAGTTTGTTTTTATCAAAGCAGTTTATTGTACCAAAAAAAAAGTGACGTAGGATGCATTATGCAATTGTAGAAGTTATTAAGAGTAGAAGAGAAATATGCATGAAATGCAAAATTAAATAGGCAGAGTTTTGTTTAACAATACCCTGATTTAAGCGGCGAACGGCGGCTTCTTAACTCCAGGTTAAGCTCCTCGCTATTAGGAAATATTAATTAATTTTAATTTGTTTAAAATTTTAATGTCCAAATATCAACAATAAATGTAATAAAAATTAAAATTAAAATGCCAAAAAACGGTAAAAAGGACGCAAAAGAGCGTGAGAGAGAGAGGGTTTCGTCTATCCAAAACAGAACAAGGCGCACTAGAAAATAGGCTGAAAATGGCCTATTTATTTTATTTAATTTTAGTGGTCAAATATCATAATAAAAATGCAATAAAAATTAAATTAAAATGCGAAAAGCGGTAAAGAAGGATGCAAAGAGCGTGAGAGAGAGAAGGTTTCGTCTATCAAAACAGACAGGAGTGCCAAAGCTGGGCGGCAGGTGTCGCCCAGAGGGGTGGGGGGCCAGGCCCCGCCCGCGCGGGGTGACAGGCCCCGCGCGCGCTGGGCGGCAGGCCTTGCCCAGGAAGTTACTATAGAAAAGTCAAATTTAATTCGTCCGTCAACACAGACAGGGGTGCCAAAATTGGACTTATAGGCCATTTTCGGGTCCAGGGCGGCAGGTGCCGCCTGGCTCGGCGGTAGCTGCCGCCTGGGAGGGCGGCAGGTGCCGCCTAGTCGGTGGGGGGGCAGGTGCCGCCCATGCTGGGCGGTAGGGGCCGCCCAGTCGGTGGGGCGGCAGGTGCCGCCCAGGCGGTGGGGCGACAGGTGCCGCCCATGCTAGGCGGTAGGCGGGCGGCTGGGCCGCCGTGGCCGGTGGCTGGGCCGCCGGTGGTCGGTGGTCTTGCTATCTTTTTGCTCCGGAGGCCTTTCCGGGCGCTCCGGACCTCTGAAAAAATTTTCGGGCCCAGATCCGCGATCCTCGCGACGTCCCGGACGTTTCAAGTACCATATTGGCATACTTTCGGTGAACTTCTAAATGGCCTTTAGCCTGGTCGGGCTGTTTGCAGTCCGAAAAAAAGATGGCTCTTTGAGCCTCAAAATTTGGGTGTTCACAGTTGCCCCCCACCGTCGATCATAAAAATGATTTATGGAGTCGGTGGTTGTCTGAAACACAAATTTTGAAGGCGAAATCGGACGCGTCTAAAAGACCCGTGCTTCGGCCATTTTCTTATAAATAGCTTGAAATCTCACTAGCCACTCATTCTAAACTCTCTACACACAAGAGTTCTCTCAAATCCTCTCATCTTTCAAAGTTTTACAAGACCTCCTTCCTCTATGGCTTCACCAAGCAGTGTTTTTTTGTTTATGGCTTCCTCTGATCTGAGCGGTGAGGAGTACCTGGGTCTCTGGGGATCTCGCTTGACGAGGTTCAACCTTATGGGCGGACGCCTAACACTCACCCCCGTAAAGCATCTTCGCCCAGGTACGCCTCTTTTTTTTTTTTTTTTTTTTTTTTTTTAGGGGTTGACAAAATGGGGATCGTGATTTTTCGGGCCTCCTGTGGCTAGAAAGAGAACTTTGGGCCTTCGTGGCCTGAATGTGCTTTTCGGGCCTTAGGCCGAATTGTGAATTGTCGGGTCTCTACGGCCAGAGTGTGATTTTCGGGCCTTAGGCCGAATTTGTGAATCTTGGGCCTCTGCGGCCGAATTGTGATTCTCGGGCCTTTGTGGGCCGAATTGTGAATTTTTTATTTTCTGTATTTGCTGTTTTATTAGTATGCATGCTAAGATATTACCCTTAGTAAAGAACCAAGGGACAATTCTTTGATGATTCTCGGGCCTCTGTTCGGGCCTCTGTGGCCGAATTGTGAATTGTCGGGCCTCTATGGCCAGAGTGTGATTTTCGGGCCTTAGGCCGAATTTGTGAATTTTGGGCCTCAGCGGCCGAATTGTGATTCTCGGGCCTCTGTGGCCGAATTGTGAATTTTTATTTCTGTATTTGCTGTTTTATTAGTATGCATGCTAAGATATTATCCTTAGTAAAGAACCAAGGGACAATTCTTTTATTACTTTACCTTTTAGGATCCTTACATTAAATTGGATGTGGCTGAGAATTCTATGTCCGAAATCCCGATCGAGATATTGGATCTGAGCCACCCGGTCGGGGCAATCATCAATCCGTCCCGTCTGGGTTACTTGAGGCATTTTGATGCTGGCCGAAATAGTCACAAGGAGTTGCTGGGTGGTGCTTTGGCCCGAAGAGATGGTGGGAACACTACCTAACACTTCATTTTTCTTGGGGCGAGATGACAATGACCCCTGTGGTTTTCCTGTGATTACCGGACATCCCTTTTGGTATTCGACATTGAATTAATATGATGCCTGGAGGACAGAGAATTTCCCCTGACGGAATTGCGGAATTTGAAGACCTGCCTCGGATTGTCGGGCCAGGTTCTGCTACTCCAGCTTTGAGTGTTTCCAGGCGCTGGCTATATCTCCAAGCCCCTGGCATTTATGCTAGCCATAGGCGGGGAGAGCTGACGGCTACTCAGGTGGCCAGATTCACTTTGTTGCTGATATTTGCCTCGTTTGCTTCGACCTTCTGGTCCAACAGGAAGGAGAAGTTTAATCCTTCTATCTTGAAGAGTTTAGAAAACCTAGCCCATCTTACGGAGTACGACTGGGCCAACGCTATTCTGAGCCGCATGTATGATGACATGTGTGATCTGAGTCAGAGCCACTGTAAACTTAGCGGGACCTACTACTTTTGGGAGGTAATGTGAAGAACATTCTGTATTTTTCTGTTTTCTTTGACCTCTTTGGACTCTTGTTTCCTCTTTTTTGCAGACTTGGGCATTTGAGTACTTTCCTTTCACTCGCCCAGAGCAGATTCATGCTGATCTCGGATTAGGGCTGGTACCTTGGGCTGGTACCGTTGGCTTGGAGATGGTACCGAACAAACCTTCATACCAGTCGGCATAAGCACTCGCTAAAAGACCTGAGAACCTTTTTTGATACATGTAGCCCGACGCAGGTATGTGTTCAGTAATTCTGGAATACGTTGAATAAAAAAGATTTATCAACATATTTGCATCTTTTTTTTTTATTTATTTTTTTAGGTTGAAGTGGGGGCGATGGCCATTCGCCTACAGAGCTGGATCCAGGTTGATCCTCATTTCCAGCGATCAGATGACTTGTCTCGGCGGAGGGTGATCCTGTCGCATCCCGTCCTGAGACGATACTACTTGGGCGAGAGAGTAGACTTTCAAATAAGAGGCTGTAATAAGAGCTGTCGTTTCCCATTCCCTTATCCTCCCTCCCGGAGAACATGCGAGCGGGGCAAGGAGACTGACTCTCACCGATGCGCATAACTGAGGGTATCCGTATGGAGAGTTCATCTTGGAGGAGAGGGAGATTATGCTGAATTCTGCAGACTCTTCCTGATGCAGCCTATTGGATCGCGGCTTGACAATTTTCAGAGATCAGCTCCTTTCCATCCGCCCGCCACCCACTCTTCTCGGGCTGCGGGTTCTTCGAGTAGGACTCCAAAGAGGAGGCCTACGACTGATCCTTCTTCTTCTACTCGGGCCGAAGGACTGATCCTTCTTCTTCTACTCGGGCTGAAGGTTCATCTCAAGCCGGCCCTAGCCACTCGGCCGGCCATTCCAGGGCTCCCCGGGCTGTAACAGAGGCTACCGGGTCACTTCATTCAGACTTGGCCAATTTACGTCTTCCGTACAGCATTTCCTACCATACTCCTGGCGCTCCTTTAGCCTTTCGAGAGGTCTCGCTGGAAAATGTGGATCGCTTGGCTCTGCCTTCTGAGGACATTACTGAGGTGAGTAAAAACTGCTAAATCTCTCACAAAAACGATTCATAAGAGATTTGACGTTCATTTGCATTTTTTTTTTTATAGGTTCCTGTTGGATTGATCAATCCAATCAGATGATGGAATTGATGCTCGGGATGCAACAGGAAGCGTGTCTTCGTCCTGGACTCGTGAGGCTTTACAATGATCAGAGAAGGCAAGAGGCCCCGTCGTTGGAAGCCATGATTGGCCGGGGATTTTTTCGTGTTCCCTTTCTTTCTTTCGTGTCTGACAACTTACTAAGAGAGCTTTGATCGTGCTTCTGTACTGTAGTCGTTGTAGCTAGTTTTATTTTGTAATATTTTCGGTGAACTTCCGAAATAGCCTTCTGGTCCGGCGGACTGTTTGCAGTCCGGGAAAACAGGCTTTCTGAGCCTCAAAATTTGGGTATTCACACCGCCATCATTCAGTGGCAATTTGGTGACCGCTATCGCCGTCATTCGGTGGCAATTCGGCGGCTGCTGCCGCCATCATTCGGCGGCTGCTGCCGCCTTCATTCGGCGACTGCTGCCGCCTTCATTCGGTGCTTCGGCGGCTGCTGCCACCTTCGTTCGGCGCATTTTTTTCTATAAAAACTTATTTTGTTGGCTTTTTTGCTCATTCCTTCTCTTTTCTCTCTTTTCCTTCTTCTTCTCAAAGAATGAATCCCTTTTTTACTCACAACATGCACAGCTGGACTAGGAGTCTCTCCAAAGTTGAAAAGATCAACCTGGGGAGGTACGGTCTCTCTCCTATCATTACTCTTAGGGGGGTAATGATCGACTGTAACTTTTTATGGGCCTGCACCAGACTTTGGGATCCTGAGGCCCACGTTTTCCGGTTCGGGGCCAGGAGCCATGATGGAGGAGATGTGTCCTCTTTTTGAGGAATTCTGTGCTATCATAGGGTGCGACCCCAATGCCCCTTTGGTCAAGCATGAGGTTAAGATTGGGTATGTTCGGTCGTTTGAAAGCCTGTTTCAGTTCAGCCGACCTCAAGCTAGGGCCATCATTGTTGGTGATCAGAAAGCAATTCTGCTGCCCTTGATTGATGATTTTTCAGAGGTCCGTTCAGACGACCCGGACCGGATGAGGCTGAGAATGCGGGCCTTGGTTTTTTGCTTATTGGCTGGTTTCTTATTCAATAAGGATCCAGGCGTTTAACGGACCAGGCTTCGGGGACTCTGGCGACTCTGTCCTATGGTTCGGCAGATGGAGGAGTATGGGTTGCATTGAGTGGCGTTGTGCTGGCAGAACCAATCAGAGAGCCTTGACCCAGAGCTAGCTCTAGCTTCGAGGACTGGGCATTATCCACCGATTATACTCCAGGTTATTATTCATCCCCCCTCTCATCTTTTCCCTATTTTTTCTTGTTTTGAATTCTATATCCTTTGTAATAAGAAAGGATCCATTACCAGGTTTGGATTGGAAGGACCACCCTCCAAGTGGTTGCTGCTCCAACTTTATTGCCCTATAAACCCTGGTCCAGTATCGTATGCGGAAGATTTTGATACAATAACCCGTTACCCGTCTGTTGATGCGTGGACTTCATGGTTAATTGAACTAGGTCCAGACGAGGTGTTGTGGTTCATACCTTGGTATGATATCAACCGGTTTATTCAAGTTAACTTCCGCCATACTCAGGTTTACCTGTTGGGCCTTACACATTGCACCTGGTATTGTGCTTCGCGCGTTCTGGGACAGATGGGGATAGATCAGACTGTTCCGACTATGGATGACTCGTTATCTGATTCAACCATTACTCCGGGAGTTACCCGTGCCGTCCTTAGAGCTTGGGTTAGAGACCATCAGATGGTTAGGCCTTTACCTAATCCTGCTGGTGTTCAGACTTCTTCTGAGTATCGGGCCTGGTTCATGGTCTGTTTATGAACCATTGTCTGCCAGTTGAGAAGCTGAGGAGGCTGAGTGTACTTGAAGGTTGGACTCAGGCCGACGCTGGTAATGAGGCTGGGACTGATGAGGAGATTCTGTTGGCTCCCCAGACAGGAAATGTTGGAGAAATGTTGGAGAGAGTTCGGGAGCTAAAGATGACTCGGAAGACGTTGCCCCACGGAGGCGACGGGGCACTTAGACTTTTATGGGCTTTTTGGGTTTTTTTTATGGTTTTTTTTTTGTTTTTGACTTTTTTCGGTATTTTGGCTTTGGGCTTGGGACGTATGTTTTATTTGGACTTGGACTCTACTTTCTTTAATTTGCCGTTTGATTTTAGACTGTTTGCCTTTATTGTTTTTATTGGGCATGCCACTTGTCTTTTAAGCTTTCCAAGCACTTTCCAACTTTTATTTATTTAAGCTCTAATCAAAGCTCATAAATTTTGCCTAAGTCGCCCTTGATCGGAGTTTCAACTTAAGCGAGTACCCATTTTTGCCTAAGCCGCCCTTTTCCGGGTTTCAACCTTAGCGGGCCCCCGATTTTTGCCTAAGCCGCACCTTTCCCGGGTTTCAACTTAGCGGGTTTTTTTTTTTTTATTAATATCGGCAAAGAAAGAATTATGAGAAATGGTATGTTTTGTTTTTTTTTTTTTTTTATTGAGTTTAGAACCATACCCAATGAGGGCTGCCTACATATCTCCGGATAATAAATTTCTTTTTTCCGAAGAAGAATCAGGTCTAAATTGTAGTTTCGTTTACATTATGCAAATGATTTATTTCACAAAATATCTTTTTTAACTGACTAAATTCATGGATTAATGAATTCCAAGACCATCCAAATACAGTCACAAAATAACGGCCTACGCCTGACAAGAAATCTTCTTCAACACATACGGTCCAGCCCAATGAGGAGGAACTTCCCCCGTGGATCTATGACCGGTTGTCTAATTTCCTTATCAGAACCAAACAACCCATTCTCAGTTTTCCAGGTCTTTGAACCCTCTTGTTAAAAATGTCGCGCCCATTCTTTCTTGAATAAACTTGAGTTTGGTGGAATTGCCGCAATCGCTTTTCATCCAATACCCAATGCTTTTCATCCATACCCAAGAGCTGCAAATGATAATTCTCAGCCCAATTTGCTTCACTGATCTGGCTTTCCCGGATAACCCTCGCCGACTGAACTTCTAACTCAATAGGCAATACTGCTTCCATGCCATATACTAAGGAATACGGGGTTGCCCCAGTAGGTGTTCTAATTGAAGTCCGATATCCCCATAAGGCATTCGGTAACTGTTCATGCCAAGCTTTGTGCTTTTTAATTGTCTTTTGCAAAATAACTTTTATGGGCTTATTTGCAACTTCTACAGCCCCGGTTTGCGGACGATAGGGCGAGGACTTATGATGTTGGATTCTCGTCTCTTTCAACAAATTAGCAAATTCACCCTGGAAGTGAGCTCCATTATCCGTCGGTGATCTCGAAATGGCGTCCGGTACCTGCAAAGGATGTTGGTACGAACGAACTGTGCTGCCTTCTTGGCATTCAGAATGATAAAGGAGGCTGCCTCGATCCACTTAGTGATAATCTATAGCACCAAAAAATGAAACCTTGGTGACCGTTGGAAGCCTTCGGGTGGATTTTTCCGATCACGTCTATGCCCCAGGTCGCGAAAGGCCATGGTGAAGTGATAGGATTTAGATTGACCGGAGGCTGTTTTTGCAATTTAGCAAAAAATTGACATTCGTGGCACTTCTGCGCATGCCTCACACAATCTGCCTTCATGGTTGACCAGTAATAACCAAGGTTCGTGATTTTTCGAGCCAAGGCTATCCCATGCATGTGTGGGCCAGACTCCCTGTGTGTGGGCCAGACTCCCCGTTATGTAAGGAATCCATGATGGTTTGAGCTTCTTCCTCATCAACGCACCTTAGGTGCAGGCCATTCCAACTTCTTTTGTAAGAACTCCCCCAGTAAGGAAATATCGGGATGCTAGTTGTCTCAATGTCCGTTGATCAGTTTTGGTGGATCCCTCTGGGTGAACTTCGTTCTGAAGATAATTCCGTATATCCCAATACTAGGGCTTATCGTCGACCAAATTCATGATATGTGCTGGCTGTTTCTGTAGCCGCACTGTCAAGGGTCGAATGATTCGATCCTCTTTCTATATACAATCCATGTGGATACGATACTTTTTCACTCTATATTACTTGTTGCGATTTCGTACACTTGCGAAAATCACTGTCACCATCATTTAATTTCACCATTGTTTCTTTTTTTTAGTATGTCGTCCAAGCGTTGCAGGTAAGGAACCAAACGCTCTTCCTTAATTTTCCATTTCCTAAGAGCTTGAGAGACTATCAGATTGGAATCTCCGAAAACTTTGAGGATCTTTATTCCTTTTTCCAGGGCTGCTTCTAACCCCTTTATGCAAGCCTCATACTCGGCTTCATTGTTGGTGCAGTCGAAATCTAATTTGACTACAATCGGGATGTATTCTCCACAAGGAGTTTTGAATACAACTCCAACCCCATTTCCATGGTAGTTTGAAGCTCCATCGAAGTACATTTCCTAGGCCTCACTTTCCAAGCTCAACAAGTCTTCATCAGGAAATTCTACCTCCGGCATCTGGTCTTCGACTGGTAATTCTGCTAATTGATCAACCAAGGCTTAATTTTACAGTATTTACTGATACAATTTATCTTCTAGGTCATTAAGCTGCAAGTACTTGATTACCCACTTTGCCATCTTACAGTCAAAGAACCGGCCTCCTCCATAAGGAATTTCAAGGGGTTCGACTCAGAAATAACGTACGTAGTGGTAAGACGAGACGGGATAGTGCTGTAGCTTGGTACAGGCCCAGACTAGAGCCCAGACACCAACTTCTCTATTTTATGTACTTTAAATTCGTAGTTCTAGCATCCTTTTGCTTGAGATAATACACTGCATTTTCTATCCTGATCTCTCTTTGCTGAGCTACATTGCACCCATAGGCTTCTTTCCACGTTGACTGATAAGGTAGCAATAGACAAAGGTTTCACAAAGGCTTTCCTAGCCTTGGTGGCTGTAACACTGGCGGGATAGCAAATATCGTTTGACTTGGTCGAAAGCTTCTTGACAGTCTTCATTCCACTTGACTGCTATTCCTTTCCTAAGTAACTTGAACATAGAGCCACAAGTGTCCGCCAGTTGATTGATGAACCGGCTGATATACTGTAGTCTTCCCAGGAAATCCCGGACTTCTTTTTCCGTTCTTGGAGCCGGCATTTCTAGGATGGCTTTGGCTTTTAAAGGGTCAATTTTGGCTTTTGAAGGATCAATCTCTATGCCTTTCCGGCTGACCATATGCCCCAGAAATACTCCAGATGTAGCTCCAAACAGACATTTCGCCGGGTTAAGCTTTAAATTGAACTTTCAAAGTCTAACGAAGAACTTCTTAAGTGCTGTTGTATGCTCTTTAGCTGTTTCTGATTTAACAACCATATCGTCCACATACACTTCTGCTTCTTTGTGAATCATGTCAAGGAAGATGGTCGTTGTCATTCTTTGATAGGTTGTCCCGGCATTTTTGAGCCCAAACCCGGCATTTTTGAGCCCAAAAGGCATGACCCTGTAACAGTAGGTTCCCCATTCCGTGGTGAATGCCGTTTTCTCTTTATCTGGCTCATGCATCATTATCTGATTGTACCCGACAGCAAGATCGGTCAAGGAGACCATCTCGTGTCCAGCCATTCGGTCTACCAGCAAGTCGATATGTGGCAGGGGGAAATCGTCCTTCGGACATGCCTTATTCAAATCCCGGTAATCCACACACATTCTAACTTTACCATCTTTCTTCGGCACCGGCACTATATTTGCTAACCATGTCGGGTAGGCAATGGGTTCTATGAACTTGTTTTCCAGCTGCTTGGCAACTTCCTCCTTGATTTTCAAGGACCATTCTATCTTCAGCCTTCTGTTTTACTGGCTTAGCCTCGAGGGTTATACTGGATTTTGGTGTTACCCGCTATTGCTGGGGGTCGATTCCCCGTGATGTCGGCTTGCCCTTCCACATGAAGCAATCGGCGAACTTCTTCAAGCATTCACTGGACTTGTTTCCTGTTAGCATAATCAAATGTGCAATGTATGTTGTATATTCATTTTCTTCTTTGCCAATTATATTATTTTTCTTTTCATTTTTTATTTCGTTTAATTCTTTTTTCTTTATTTTTTTCTTGGAAATGCTTTGAAAGATAAGACACGCGGGGTAATCAAGAATCTGCAAAACCTTATGATTATGACGGAAATCGTCTTCAAAAAGATTACATCAAATTTGAAATCTGATTTTCAAAAAATCCGGACACAGGAAAACGACTCAGAATTGGACTGGAACTCTGGCTCAGCTCTCATACCCCAGGGTCAGACTCAAACTCAAATACAGACTGTTGATTTCAAACTTTGCACTCTAGTGTTCGACTCGGGAGGGGTGTATCAGCAGTGCCGCGCCTTTCCTCGGGCGTACCAATTGGTGAGAGGTCCTTCATTTGGCTTTAGATCAGGCTCAAGTAAATCTTGGTCCCCATCATTTCCTGTAATGACTGCAACCTCAGTTCAAAAGAGACTAGGCTGCCATGAAGTTCTTTCCACCCACTTCCGGATCAGTCTTCGTTTCAGGCTTGTTACCCCATACATCAGAGAATATTTCTAACCCAGGCAGCATCTTTTTAGCAGCCGGGCAGTAAAATGGTTCTTGGAAGTTACGGTAAGGAATCGTCTCTCCCGATTTGCAGAAGTGACTATTTAAAGTCAAGAAGCGTGATGGCATCTGTATGTTTTTCTTCTTTCCTATTCTCATCTTTCTACCTCTGTTCCTGGTCCTCGCGGCCAGGTCTTCCTCAGTGGGCTGATATCCTAGCCCAAAAGTCCCTTCATTTACTGGGCATTCCCAGGCTTGCAGTGCGGGGTATGTCTTTCCGAACCTCATCATAGCCATTCCCGGCAGGTAAGACATCCTCAACATCAAAGGAACTATGCAGTTTATTTGCACCGTTCCAAAATCAAAGAGAATTCGGGAGTTTGTAGTCTTCCCTTCTATGAACTGCACAGTGTCATACTGAAATCCCAAGAGGGGAAAATTGGCATTTTTTAGGGTTGACCTCAAAGAGAGGCTGACCCTTTGTCTTTTTAAGCTGGCTGTAGTCATCTCCTTGAACTGTTATGATTTTACCCTCGTAGGGGAATTTGACCTTTTGGTGTAAAGAGGAAGGCACTAGGACGAGGGTATTGCCTTGGCATGGTGGATCCATGGTCGACCCAAAAGTAGATTAAAGCTGGTCGGTACATCAATTACCTGGAATGGGACTTCCATCAGAGCTGGCCCGACTGTCAATTTTAGGATAGCAACCCCCAATACTTCCCTTCGGGTACTATCATAGGCTTTCACTATCTGGTCAGATGGAATGGAATCTGTCTCTTCTAACCCCAAACAGCTGGCTACCCTTAGTGGCAGACGTTCAATGCCTTAGTGGGCAGACGTTCAATGCTGACCCGTTGTCAATGAGAACCATGGGCACAGTTTTGTTTCTAGTCTGAATGGTGACATAAAGAGCATTGTTGTGACTGCTTCCCTCCCTAGGTAGGTCATCATCAGAGAACCCGATGCATTGCATTTTAGATGATTGAGTGAGGGTGGACACTAGCACTTCAGGGCTAACCTCTACCGATGTCTGAAGTTTGCAGTTGACTCAAAGCCTTGCAAAGAGCTTGGTGATGAGGAAAGGATGATGCCAGAAGTTCCCAAATTGACACTTTAGCCTGGGTCTTTTCCAGCTGTGAGAGCAGAGGGTCTTCCTTTGGCTCATCTGCCCTCTGGTAGGGGTTATTTTGGGCTTTGTCCAAGACTAGTGGTTCATACTATCTTCTGCTCCTGGTTATTGCATCGACCTCTTCAGTCAGGTCGTTCAGATCCAGGACATAGATTTCATTCATCTCTAGGAATAGCTCGAAAGGATCGATCAATTCTTGGTCAGAAACAATAGCATTTACCCCGTGATTTGGTAAGGGATTGCGGTTAGGTAAAGGGTTAGTGCTAATGTTTGGTTTGCTTCGTGGAATAATCGAACCATTATCCACTAGGTCTTGGATGCGATTTTTGAGGGTCCAACATGCTTAGTCTTGTGCCCATATCCCTGATGATACTCACAATATTCATCGGCTTTGTAATTCCTTGGTAGTGGGTTAGGTGGTGGTCTTGCTTCCAAAGGTTTGATATAGTTTGCTTTAACAGCCTCTCGGAATACCAAAAGAATTGGCATTCCGAGATCAGTGTAGGTTCTTCTTGACTGACTGCCAGCTCTCATATTTCCCACACGTAGAGGATTTGTGGGAGTAATGCTTGCCACTTCGTGGACTTTGCTAACTTGACTAGGTTTTTTGTATTTTGAGGCCCCCGAATTCTTCTTTTAGTTGCCCCATTGAAGTTTAAATCCTCCCACCTTCGTAAGCACAGTGGCAATGAGCGACTGGAAATGATGCGTTAGATTATATGAGTCTGTAACTGTTGTTGATAGGAAGGCAACAAGTTTTTTAAAGCAGATTATGTCCACCTTGTATCTTGTTCTGTAAGGGTCGATGGATCATTTGGCGATTGATCATTTGGGCGGCCTTGGCCCTCCACCTCGTAAGGAACGAGGAAAAGGGTTCATTGTTCTTTTGTTTGGTAGTTTCTAGTTCTCTTCGAATAACATCAACTTCTATATTATAGTGATACTGAGAATTAAAAGCATTGCAAACATCCTCCCAGGTCTTCATCTTAGAGCGGTCCAAACTAACAAACCACCTCAAAGCAGCACCAGTCAGGGATTGTTGGAACAACTGAGCAAGGAGCTCGCTGCTTAATCCAAATGGGTTAAAGGTGCCCACATACATTTTCAAGTGTGTTTTAGGACAGGTGGTTCCATCAAACTTGTCCATGTTTGCATTTTGAACTTAGTAGGCCAATCTTGCTTCGGGGAAACAAGGACAAAGAGCCATGTCCACCACCTCCTTGTGCGGTCTTCCTAGAGCAGTAACAGACCTTTCTAGCAATTCCAGTTTTTCTCTCATTCTTTGAGCTTCCAGCCTCAGAAGCAGTTTGGAGAGTCATTTCATCCAAGTTAGGGTTGAAGACAGGTAGGCGCAGAGCCAGGTCCTTGGTTGGATGGCAGCAGGACCACTCCCCCCAGCGGAGGCCCATTCATTACCCACCACTTTAGTTCGGCTAATAGGGCGGTGTTCTTTTGGGCACCAATTTGCCTCCATTCATCCTAGGCCTGTATTCTGGCTTCATTTGTTTCCATTGAGGGTTTGGATGTCGCTAGTGATGCCATCGGTGTAGTTGATGTTGGTGATAGCACTGTAGGTGTCTGGTATTATGTTGGTCGCTTGCAACAGGGGGTACCTGGACGTATAAGGGTAATTATATCAGGGGACAGTGAGTAGTACTGTGTATCAGGGTAATTGATATGAGGTACATCGACTCTTTGTCCAACTGTGCATGACTGACAAACAGAAGGATATTCTTGTGTCCCCCCACTCTCTCTTTTTTTTTG